TTCTTGTTACATTCGAAAGTACAACAAAGAGCATCAATGTGGCATGTTTTTTTGGTACTGTAAGTAGGAGGAGAATGACGTCGCGTGTCATAATTGATTTGATAGAAGGTGATATCAGGGCAATGCCAGGTATTACGCCTCGTGAGGTTCAAAAACAGGTGAAGGAAAAATTTGGCGTTGAGATTAGTTATTTTGTTGCGTGGAAATCTACTTATGCGGGTCGAAATAGGATTTTCGGGGACCACAGCAGCTCGTATGCATACCAGCCGTCATATTTTGCTGAAGCTGAGAGGACGAACCCCAGAAGCATATTCAATTTGGATATCGATGAGTCCAAGCGAATTTTCCGCCGATGTTTTTTTGCCTTTGCAGCTTGCTTGGTAGGATTCAAGTCATGCCGCCCCGTGGTGATGCTTGATGGGACTTTTTTGAAGGGTAAGCACAAGGGGATCCTGTTGAGTGCTATTGGGAAAGACGGTGATGAAGGTAAACTGTGAACATGCAATATTAATGCACAGTCGAATAGTATATGCATAATCGATTAATGTTTTCTGTTTTTTTTTTTTTTTGGTAGGTCTGTTTCCTATTGCTTTTGGAATTGTAAGTGAAGAAACTGATTGTAACTGGTCTTGGTTTTTGAACCACTTTCGAGATGCTGTTGGGACTGACCGGTCGTTGATTTTTGTTTCTGATCGTAACCATGGGATTCTTGAAGGAGTTAGGCAAATTTTTCCAGATGCTTTACACGGCTACTGTTACAAACATTTGACCCGCAATTTGCAGCACAGGTTCAGGGGTGTTGCTCCAAACTTTCGTGACGCGGTACTGGCACAATTTGCAAATTGTGCTTATGCGGTTACGAAGGAAGATTTTGCCCGCTGTATCCAGAAGTTGAGAGCTACTGGCGGCAAGAAAGTGTGCAATTTTTTAGATGGTATTCCAAAGGAGAAGTGGGCAAATGCACATTTTGAGGGTCTGAGGTATGGTCAAATGACATCGAATGCGTGTGAGTCGTGGAATTCTCAGGTTGACGATGAACGGTACCTGCCTATTACTAGCTTGATTGACGGGATTAGAATGTTGTTGATGGAACAACTTAGTGATCGACTGGGGGATGGAAATAGGTGGACAACTGTGCTGACCGAGTCCGTTGACAAAAAAATGAGACAGCTAGTTGATAAAGGGAGGACATAGGAACGTAAAAAGTCGTCGGAAACTGTGTATGAAGTTTTATCGACGCCGAATGTTGTTGTGGATCTGCGAGAGAGAGTGTGTTCGTGTAAGCTTTGGCAAATCTACGGGCTTCCATGTGCACACGCTGCTGTTGTGATTTTCTTAGAAATAGGTGGTGGTTACGAATATATTGATAAATGGTTTCATAGATCAACTTTTGTCCAAAGTTATTCTGGTTCAGTTGTGCCGTTTGTTAGACTGGATAATGACATTGCAGATAGTGACATTGGGCCACCTGAGTATCATCCATCGCGTGGCAGGCCTAAACGGAAGAGGATCCCTTCTAATGGGGAGTTTACATCTCGAAAAATGAGATGCAGCCGTTGCAAAGAAGTTGGGAATCATAACAAGAAAACATGCCGGAAATGATTTTATTTTTCTTGAACTTTATGATGTTTTCACAATTTTTATGATGTTTTTCACAATTTTTATGATGCATAGTCGATTAGTGAAACAATAATAGTCGATTAATGAAACCATATATGTGGTTCATAGTTTTAAGATTTTTTTTAGCAGTTTGTGTTCTTTTGAACTTGTGTTTTTATTGTGGGTTTATACAGTGGGACAAAATGTTTTTTTATTCTGGTTTTAGATTTTTTTTCACAAGGGAGCAAAATGGTGTCAGCAGGGGACAAATTTTATTCTGTTTTTGTACTACGTAGTCGATTAGTGAAATCTAATAGTCGAATAGTGAAACATTATATGTGGTTCACAGTTTTAAACATTATATGGTTTTTTAAGATTGTGTTTTTGTGAACTTGTGTGTATTGTTTTTTAGTGTTATAAATGGGGACAAAATGTTTTCAGTGATACATAAATTTCAATACACAAATTCATGAATCCTACATGTTTATGAATAGTTAAACAAGGATAGTCGAATAGTTAAACAAGGATAGTCGATTAATAAATCCTACATGTTTTGAATACAAGAAAGAATATTAGACACTACTAGTTTTTTTTCAACAAATCATAAATTTCAATAAGCTCTCAAGCATTCCTTGCTGGTTTGGTGTAGTATTTGTCTCCACCATACTTTAAGAATGTGTCCACGATGCCCCCACGCAGCTTTGGTATTTCTTTCTTCATGCCCTTGGGGGTGTCGAGTGGATGTTGTAAGAAAAGTTGCTTGATCAGGTACAAGACAAAGAGGCCACAGTCTCTTCCATTATTTTGTTGCGGGGAGGATATCACGTCAACAACAGGCATGTCAAAGTTGACGTCTATGTTGTACTTTGCAGCTGACAGCTTCATTGCTTCCTTCTGTTATAAGCAACATGAAATTTAGAGTTAATTGTAAAGTATCAATCAATTTTTTTGCTTTTTAAAATATTATGTTTTGTTTTGCTAACCATGTCTAATGCGTCGATAAAATATTTGTCGGAAGTGGAATCCATCTCATCATTCTTCCTTCTCGTTGGCCACCTTGTTTGGATTTGTACCTGAATGCAACGGGAATATAATGTATCTGTGATCGTCCAAGTTCGGGGGTAGCTCAAACGTTCTGTCCGGTCTGTTTGGGTGCCTAATGTCATTCTGTGAAACAATATATATATATATATATATATATATATATATATATATATATATATATATATATATATATATATATATATATATATATATATATATGTATATATATATATATATATGTATAAACATAATGTGATTTT